TTAGTTCCAAGCATTTGCACGCTTGGGTCTGAACCACACCAGTACCGTAATGGGGCCAGGACCCGACAAAACCTAGAACCCATGCATAAAATAGAATAGGTTTTGGGTCAGGGTACATGTGGACCTGGCCCAAACCTGACCCATTGAAAGTATCATGTTGAGTCACAAGCCAAACCCATTACCCATTAAACCCTAACCATTAATTAATCAAGGTTGTCTTGTTGCCCGGATTCTGGGGGCCCATTTCTATCTAACAAGGTCTTCCAAGATAAGATTTCCATTTGATGTTTACTTACTGCAGTTGGAGTTGGATTTACACAAGATAATGGGTTAAGGATGAATGTATAAAACTATAAATAGAGTGGAATTGAAGGGGGGTTTGGTGTAATTGTGAAAGCAGATATAAAGGGTGCCTTGAACATGCGCAGCATGTTATCTAAATACACTTTATACCAGCAAAGGGGGGCCACCCTACTCATATTACTCCTTTTTTTTTTTTTTTGTTGAAAGGAGTTGGCGTGATTCCATTCCCTTCACGCACTGTTTTTTGGGCCTGGTATTATTGTAGTAGCCAAAATAATATCCATGAAAGCAGAGACAAGGACCATCCAACAGAACCTCATCTATATCCCATCAAACCTCCATGAATGCCACATGTAAATAAAAAATCTTTCAGAGAGAGAGAGAGAGACATGCGTGATCCGACCCATTATAATTTTTTTGCTACAATAACATTTTTTACATGTAATTCGGTAATAAACTTATTTGTTTGATAAATTGATACATTTGTACATCATAATATTACTAGTATGACAAAAATAGGTAATCGAGTGGGATATCTTTATAATGTATCAATATACATATCCATATTATTCATACAATTATGAGGGACTATTTTCCTTTTCTTTTCTTATCTTTTCCTTCAAACCAAATATAGCCTTAAGGTCTTAATCGATTTCAAAGAAATCAGATTTGATCCTCATAAAACTATCACACCGTCCTGATAGTTCCTTACAGCCATGCATTGAATATATTTCTTCATGGATAAAGACATACAAAGACCAAGTTGTTTCTAATACATGGTTGCAAAAGACTGTAAGAACGGTTCTGTGTGAAAACCAAATATGAACTTGGTTTGAAACAATTTTTATTTATTTTTGTTTTATTTTATGTTTGTATTTCAAGATGAAAACGTTAAGAGTTTCACCAATTAAGTTACACATTAAACCAAGAAAAAAGAACAAACCAATGAAGCCTACAGGTTACATTTTTGTAAACCAAATAAACAAGATTAGAGATATATCATAACTACAAAGTGGAAAAGACATGAATAGGTTTTAATGAATCTGTTCTACTCGGGTCATGTTTAAGGGTCTCAACCTTATACTGTCTAACCTAGAATTTCCTTATTTTAATTGATGGGCCAAACCAATCTGGTATATGGAGGAGGTGGGTCGGGTTGGTCAACATATCCAAATAACGGATCGGATCCGGCAGCTTGAAAATTTTGAAAACAGTGGGCAAGTTGGCAACTCCTCTCAACAAATGCCAATTCTAAACAATATCAAATGTTCTCTCTCTCCACACAAAAATTAAAAGGAAAAAAGAAAGGAAAGGCTAAACGAAAAGCTATAAGAATTCAATTCAGCTTTGAATKAAACCCCACTGGACGAATTTCTCCTTCCATCATGTGTGGATAAGATATGCTAATCTTTCATTGGACCAATTTCTATAAAGTTATCAATCAAATATCCCCCAAGAACAAACATGTTTTGCTTTTTACAAATTATAAGTTATCATCCCTTTATGAATAACTTAATAAGGGATAAGTGGGTACATCATCAACATCAGGGCTGTAAACGGATCGGGTCGAGTTAAATCCACGTCCGATCTGATTATCAAACGCTTGGATTTGAATTTGATCAAAGTCCTATATTTTGGATTTCAGATTGGACTCAGAATTAATCCGCATCCACTTTATTGTGTTTAAAATAACAAAAAAATTAATATTTTTAATTTATACATGTATAAAATGTGTATAAATATTTAATTTTAAAATTGTCATTTATAAACTTCATATAATTATATAAATATGTACCTGATCAGACTAATTTTAATCAAACATTCAGCGTCCGATGACAGCCCTAATCAACATTATGAGAATGGATCTAAAAGACTGGGACAGTTTGGGAAAAAAAGGTTTAAAACTGTTCTAATTTTCCACTCTAGTTGCAAATTTGCATTGCAAATATTATTATTATTATTATTAATATTTCTTCTCCAAGGAGGATTTTGCTTGGAATTCTTAGCTTCCCCTCACGTATTATCAAAAAAGTATATATAAAAGAATGGAATGGGGAAACCCCATATAATTGAGATAAGGCTTATATGATGATTACAAGTGGAACTTTTGTTTGACTAAAATACTCCAATTTTTTAGTTTGGCCTCCCTTTCATTGTAAGGACAGAAATGTAATTTGAACAATCACTTTAAGGTATTAGCTCCCATTAATATTCATTCAATCATATTTTTTTATTAGAATAGCCCTATTTTTGAATTTGGTCTTTCTCCAATTGTGAAGACACAACATATAATTTGAACTACTACATTTCTTTTCATTCAATTCCCTCTCATTAAGTCATATATTTTGGATATTAACACTCATTATTTTATTAAATCTTATATTATTTTACTATATTAAAAAAATAAATGCGACAAAAAATAATATTTTTATTGATGATATAAATAAAATATAAATTTAAAATCAACCCAAAAAATGGGGTTGTTTTCCTATCTGGTGGCGAGTCAATAATTCAACTTCAAATGCATAAGCCCTTGATGTCATAATTAAATAACAATACAAATTCAAAATATAAAAAATACAAAAAAATGTAAAAAATATTTGGATACATCTCTAATATCGTATATTCATCATGGTAATAAAAAATAAGCGTGATAAATAAGAATAATTTTTTGATATATAGAAATATAAAAAAAATATATAAAATAATTTTAAAAACATATTATTTACTATCATCGTCATCATAAAAAATTATTATTTATAATACATATCCACATTTAATATATATATATAGATAGATAGATAGATATGCCATAAGTATAATGGACAAATACCTTAATTGTTTCAATAGGTTTATGCTTGATCCAGTCCAGTTGAAGTCAAGTTACTCAGAAGACATCCTTTTTGATGAAGAGAGGTGGGTTCAAGCTGCATTAGACAAATTCTCTAGATTGTACAGCAGCCCGTGTGCACCAAGTCACAAACTCCACTAACCCACTAATCAGGTGTAGCGTACATAACCTTACTCCCGTGGGGTTGGGGTCAAAGTCGCATTGAATACCAAAAAAAGAAAAATAGGTTCATACGTGTCACTGCGTCACCAAGACAATACATTTGCACCACCTTTGGTATCACATCCACGTGGTTCGTCTTAATTTGACAATTAAGCATAATAATGAGGTTGGTTAAGAGGTCTAAATTGAAAACTTGATGGACATGAACCGTGAAGCAAGGTGGGTTCCAGTGTTCATCTTTTGCAAATGGAGGCCACCAATAGCAAGAAATATGAATGAAGTTGAGCGTGCGTGTTGATATTCTTGCTTGTCTCTAAGTGTCTTTATGAAAAGGAATTCTGGTGAAGGGAAAAGAATACAAATACAATAAAAAGTTTCCCAACAAGGCAGTTTGGCCTTTGCTAATCTAAATATATATTGCTGCAAGGGATATAGCCTCTATTCTAGTTTTTGGCGTGGTGGATAAATATTAATTAATCTGTGTTCATACAGTATCAAACGTCCATTATTAAGTAGGTTCTAATGAAGATAATTAATTATAAACACAGCACTCCATAATGTTACTGTACCAATACCTCAGTTATATGGCAAATTACAAGTTCATGAATCTGATCCAAACAAGCCCTAATAATCTATGTGCTTCACAAGTGACCAAATGTACTCTTTCTTGTTTTCAAGAATCAAGGGAAAACAGCCTAATTTTGGTCACTTGTTATTCTAAATTGGTAATTGGTAATTTTGGGCTATAAACTAGACATTAAAGCAGACATGGAATAATGACACGAGCCTAGAAGAGAAGGTGTATGTAAGATATATCACCATAAAACCATGAAAGGATCCATTCATCTGTGGTCAGGATATGGATAGATGCAATTCTTGGTCTATGGCCCGCCTATAGAGTGACCTAAACCCCTAGATTATAGAGATTCATGATCACATATTTTAATCCGACCCCATACTTGTTGAGGGGTCTCCATATCAAAATACGAAATTAATGCTCTCTTTCATTATAAGGTTGATAAAGAAAACCTAGCTAGCTAGCTAAAATCTAGTATACACATTCAGGGGGTCCATTCTAATTAGAACCCTAGCCAGCCAAAAATAAATATGATTAATTAGATCATATAAACAATTTATTATTTTATTGTGTTCTTTGGGAATGAGGTGATTGATTTTGATAAATTTATTGTGTTCTTTGTGTTCATCCCTGCTGTGGAACATCATCTGAATATGATCTGATCAAGTTCCCTCATACAAATGAAGTAGTGGGTCCATCAACTATGGAGGATCTAAACGTAGGCTGTATGAGAGAGATGCACATGAACACAAATTTCTTCCAGGGTTGATCACGGGTTGGGGAGGATTCTTCCCTTGGGCTGATGTTGTTGAAATATTGTAAAGTAAAATTCAGCCGCCTTTCCTTAATTCCTTTATTCTAATTACATTGAACATGAAGCTGAAAGGGAAACCCAACCAGGTCCAAAACAAAAGAAATAAATAATTTAACAAACCCAAAAAGTAATGACGGACCGAAGGAGGAAAAAGGTCCCATCACCCCCCCCCCCCCCAAGTGGGTCGCTTCAACCATGTGCGATCATGTGGTGGTTGGCCCCCTGTGGGCCCATAAATCCACTTCTCCAACTCTAAATCTCAAATAAAGAGTGGTTGAAAGAGAAAAAAAATTAAAATAAAACCTTGATTCCCAAGTTTCCTCCCTCTCACCACCGTCCAATTTTCATCCTCTCACACCAATCTTCCTTTACTAATCTCCTCCTCCCAATTGCTTGAAACCTCTACAACCACAAGCTCCCCCTTCATTTCTTCTTCAACCCCTCTCTCTCTCTCGTTTGTGTTTGAGTTAATTTGTTCTACTCACTGGTTGAGGCTGTTGTCGTTGGCAGGTTGATACCTTGTGTCAGAACTGAATTTTGCCTTTTGCCTTTCTGAACAAGCGGACCCTTTGTGTCAGAAGAAAATCCCTATCTCCAATGGTCGTTTGTCTTTCGATCTATCCGAAAAAGTAACCCCCCATAGTTAGTTATAAGTAGTACGATCAATATCAGTAGCCAACTTATTCAAGCCTAAAAAACTATACAACTTCTTCCTCTCTAGTCTCTTCTCTTCTTCTCTCTCTAACTCTCTTAATTTCTCTCTGCATCTTCCAGGAGTCTTCAGTTATACTTAGCTTCAATGAATTYCAAGAGCTTATCCTCAAACCCTTGTCGGAAAACCAGCTTCACCCGGAGATTTCTTCGAGCTCTCGCAGAAATAAGAAGGGAGGAGCCCAATTCTTCCTCTCACGTCGACATCAGTCGGCGCTGCCAGAGAATTAAGGTTGCTGCTTATGCGTCAATGGCTTCCGCTGTTGGATCGAAGAGAGCTTGGAGCCGGGCCATGATTTGCAAGGTTCGAAACCGAGCTATATGCCGAGCTTCCATGAGACAGAAGATCAAGATCTCAAAGTGGAAGAAAGCCGTTGCAAATAAGCATAGGCGAGACGTGAACCAAGAGGATGAACTCCGAAGACTTGTYCCGGGTGGTAAATCCATGGATTTCTGCAAGCTGTTGGAGGAAACTGCTCATTATATAAAGAGTCTGACCACCCAGGTACAGGTCATGCGAAGTATCGCTGATTACTACTCTACTTGAGATTGGTTTTACAGCTTCAAAAATAGAAAATCAAATATCATATGGATGGGTCGAACAGACGAAGTAAGAGAAAAGAAAAAAGCTTGAAGTTTGGGAGGTAAGTTTCTAGACCCGGGAGAGAGGGTTTATACATAACTGGATTTCTACATTCAGCATACTTATATACATACATAACAATATTAGAAGTTTTCAGAGGTTGGCTGTAAATTAGAGATGAACATTTGATGATGGTTGTGAGAAGAATACAGGGTTTTTAATGGTTTGTACATAGGTATAACTTGGTTGGTGATACAATCCTTTTTTCTATCTTTTGTATATTATTCATCTCTCCCTTCCTCTCTCTCTCATCTCTCTTCATCTATCTATCCATTCATCCATCTCTATGGCATTTGTTTTACAGCATTGAAATGATCTTTAGACAAGTGCTGCAGGTACGAATATGCAGAGGTCTTATCTTGGGTGGGTTGACGGTGTTAAGGTAATTAAGATGCTCATGCAAGGAGAAGTAGTGGAATGAATAATTTCATAATTAAGGTTCATTATTGGCCAAAAAAATAATGAACCAAAATAAATAAAAAAATGTAAGTGGCTTTAGATAAAGTGATGATGTATGAGTATGAGGGAGGTGGTCGATGGGTCCCACCTTCTCTTGAACATGTTCTTGATCTCTGTTTTAACATCTTAGCTAGGTTTTGCTTCTCTCCTAGTTAAGAGTTCTATTTAGTATCTGAAATGGGTATATGGTCCCATCAGAAAGGTGGTGATTAAGTAGAAACTATTCATTCCTTCCATTTGCCTACTACTATTGATTCTACAAGGAGTCACTTCCTTCTTTAGTGCATATACCTGGCAACAGAAAGGCCCACCATCTTTGTAGAATGAAAGATTGGGTTGGCCAATCAGAACTCTCTGGAAATGTATTATTTAGGTTCAAGAACTGCTAGTAGTACTACGTTTTGTTCTCAATGGGTAGCATGTGCTTTTTTCACTTTATTTTGAGAGGCCATTGGAGTACAGGCACATTGACTACATCAGTTGGGGTCCCTGCTGTTTTACTGATGGCTTCCATGATATTCTATATGAGAGGTGAAATGATTTGTAGTTTCTTGGGTATAAATTGAATTGGTTATAGTTTGAGAGTAGAAGGGACTTACAATAAGATCTACTATGACCCTTGGACCAAGTCTGGTATGGATTTTTTATAATGATAGAATGGAAACTTTTGATAATAATAAAATCACTTTGGACCAAAACCAAAACTTGAAATAGGTGAAATTGGTCTTAGCTTTTTAGAATTTTCYCAAATGGAGTCCTAGGTTGGGAATACATGATGTAAGGGTTTCTGTTGCAGGGACTGAAGCCACAGCTAAAAGATTTCCAATTCATGAAATTACCAAATTCTATAAGCCATGATTCTCTATATAGCATCTTGTAAAGTTTCTACCAATGCAATTAATCAAATTTCAATTTAATTCTAGGTTGTTAGAAATGTTTGCTGTCTCAATTATTTTAAATTAAAGTAGTTCTCAAAATTTAGTTGTATCATTAATTAGGAACATTATTAAGGGTATGCAAGTGTCACTATAAGGTAAATAGAAAATATTTATGTGAATTGATATGTAACATAAAAAACTGAATTTTTTTTTTTTTGGTATCCAGTGCTATGCACCATTAATAACTTCTCCCTTACCCCTTCTTCCCCAAAGTGCTGGTTGCAGGATTTGATTCCGCGTCAATGCTGGAACAAACCATCAGCTAACACACCAACGAGCCAACCCTCCATTGGTCACATAAAATTGATAATTAAGTCATATATAATATAATATGAGAAATATAGTATACAATACATATGTATATGTAAATGTATATGAATGCCTCTATGTTTTGAATGTCCATTTATGTGCTTCTAATTTAATTAGAAAAAAACTATACAATTTAATTCAAAAAATTAATAAGGAAAATATTTCTGCCCAATTATCTATTTCTGAATACACAAACACTTGCATGAATAAATACATACCTATCACACTGGAATAAATAAATTCATAATTTAAAATTGTGGGATTTTATTAATTAATATTTTGAATTTGTTAATTAAACTGACTAGTTCCAGTTTTAATGACTATTAATACTAATTAAGCTAATTGAATATTTAAATATGAAAAAGGAATCAATGCAAAATACATGTTTGAAGAGTATGGAATAAATAAATTTAAAACCATTAATACTTTTATTAGATAATGGCCTAAAAGAAATTAACTAAAAGTTTATCCTAATATTATAAAGAAAAAATAGAAACTATACATTTTAAAATTTTAAAGAAAAAGTATATCTATAACCATATATTCTACTGTATAGCAACTTTTGCCAAACATTCTTTCACGCTTTTTCATTTTATTAAAAAGAACTTTCAATGAAATGAAATCCAATTATGGGCCCTTTATGTTGGGCTGGTTTTTTCTTTTTTTATTCCAAGGTTAAATTTTAATACAAAACATATTAAGTCTTAAACAAAGAGATTCGTAATTAATAGAAATCATACGATTTGACTGGAATCGTAACTTTTGATTTGATAGTTAAACAATTAAGTATTCACTTTGCTCAGTTTGTAATACATGGAGAGTAAAGAAGCTGTTCTGTTAAACATAAACTACATCAGTCATAGAATATAAAAAATCATTTACAAATATGATTGCCACAAATTTGACAGGAGTCTTAGTGATAGCTATGGCGTCATCTTATTGTTATATTTTCCTTGGGTAGTCCAGTTGTAACCACTATACTACTCGGTTTTGTTATATGCAATTACTTTAATTATTTTTATCCATATGAGCCGGTTAATTTGAAAATATAGGATTTTCATTGTCGATTTTCGAAATGCTTTATATACTCTCTTCAAGCATAATGTGGGAAATATAGTAATACTCAACCTAGACCAAGTTAAAGAAAGAATACTTGAGAAAACAAAGAAAAAAATTCTCACTAATGTCATCAGTTAGTTGGGATTTAGGTGGAACACTACAACACAGAATAAACTAGCATTTTAGTTGGAGTTGATATATAGAAGAAAGAAATAAAAGAAACTTTTATCCTGCATATATGAATATATGTATGTATCTTATCTTAGAACAACTTCTCTTTCGTATAATTTATATATATCTTGGAACATCACAGAAATTATATATAGGATACAATATCGCATCCATGAAATCATCCTCTAGCAACTTAGATTCATACCGAATTTGTTCTTCAAAGAAGAATGTTGGCAAGGCTATTAAAACTGAGAGCAAGTATTAAGAATTAAGGAAAGTCTGGAATTAGAAATCTGACAGGAAAGTTGAGAATTTGAGGTATGTCAGAGTGCACAGGATCTTCAGGTTACCATTTAGAGGGATCCTTAATTTGTTGGATCTCCAATAGTATACACCTTGGGACGTGTAAATATGGACATAATACTGCATTTGTGCTGCAACGAGAGAGAGAAAGCCTAAACCACTTGGAATATTCACCCATTCACCTTTCATGTCTTTATAAATACCTACAATAATCAAATTGTTGACTATCTGCAGCAATATTAATAACTCACATTTCCAATGTAAATTTTCATTCTCCTATTCCGATTCAATAGAGAACTTGCGTTACGAATGAAAGCGATTTTGACTTTATTGATTTTCGATGCAAATTTGCATGTCTCCTAATCTAAATCCAATTGTTTTCATACTGTAGAATGTTTACTTTTAGGCTATGTTCGGTTTGAAGGATAAGGTAGGGATAGGAAGGGAAAGGTATAAGGAAAACTTTACGAGCCTTGTATAGAGTTTTTTGCCTTTCCCTTTCTTTTCCTATTTTTTCCTTCAAACCAAAAACAGCCTTAAAGAAGAAAAAATAGTGCATGTTTTCTTATTAAGAGAAGAGTGAAGCAGAAAATAAAAATAATGATTTAGGTGGGGGAGTGGTGGCAAGTTGACAAAATTATGACTAGGTAGACAATTTAGTTGTTCATGAACAAGATTATAAGGGCCCGTTTGATTTACAGTTGGAATTAGAATCGGAATAAGAATTGAAATCCTTTAGAATCGGAATTGGATTGGTCCATTCCCATAATCTATTTGGTTCAGACAGGAATGGAAATGGAAATGGGAGTGAACAGGAATGGGATTTCATTCCTCCAAGGGAGCGGCAGGGAATGGCTATTCCCTCAAATGGGGGAATGCCATTCCAGCAGGAATGGAAATTGGAATCTGATTCAACCCAACCAAACAGTTGGAATCGGAATGGGCTATTCTAATTCTGATTCCAGACCCCTATTCTTATGAATCAAACAGGGCCTAAATCTTTCAAAATATATCACTTAGGGGGCGTTCCTTTTTTGGATTTTGAGAGGAGGGAAAATTGGTCAATGGGATTTTGATTTTCATTGACCAAGAAACTCATGTTCTTTTTTCAGATTTATATATGTGGGGACTAGTGAAAGTTTATTTTTTTGTCTAGGTGGATAAATTAACTTTTCCATTTAGAGGAAAGTTGCCAATACTTGGATGGGACAAAAATGCCCCTTTAAATAATGGAATTTTTATGGCTAAGATTGTCATTACCTTATTTACATGAGAAATAAAAGAATATGGACAAATGCATTTACCCGGGTAAGTTTTTCCCAGGAAACAGTTACCCGGATAAGTGACTTACCAAAAAACGAATTAAGAATTCCATTAGAGGCGGCGGTTTGGCCTTCTTTCATGAATGAGGATGGTTGTTTCTTGTTTGAATGCGTAAAAGAATAATCATTCACACAACTCGTTTTAAAAAATCAGTTTGTACAGAGGCCATCATGAAATCAGGACTCGTTTTAAAAAATCAGTTTGTACAGAGGCCATCATGAAATCAGGATAGGAAGACCAAGTAGCTAGGTAGAAGAAGCAGCTTTGGCTATCGATACCATCAAATGTTTGTTTGACCTTCTTTCTATACCACAAAATGCGCTTTTAAATGAATTTGTGGCAAATAATTTGGACGAAAATTCTGTTTTGTTTTTGTTTTAAAATTTACCTTATTTTATTTGATCAGTACAAATGAAATAAAATAAGACATGAAACAGAATGAAGTAAAACCCGAAACAAAATTAGACYAGAATTTGCATTCTTTTCACTTGCACTCCCATATATTTGTGCTAGTCCAAATAAGATTGCACTGCAGCCAAACACAACATTAGGAAAAATATATGGTGAAACAAATGTACTCATTAACAAAAGAGTTGATCTTATAAATCGTTAAAGGAGAAAATATGATACATCCCAACTGATATTTTCAATGTTGTAAA